CATTAGCAAAAGTAAGAATATTCCGGCAAATGAAAATTTTATTTTGGTAAGAAATTCACAAAATTCAAATAGTATTTAAACAGTACATCCAATACGTTCTTTCCCATCATCCGAATACGATCTAAAACAAATTTTCACAAAAAAAAAAAAAAAACTAATAATAAAAATGAAATTTCAATTCACTATTTTAGTTCTTTTCGCGTTCATTGCTTTTACGACAGCAATATCCATTAAGGACGAATCGATAAAGCTTGAAAAACGAAACTCGTGTTCATCTAATTCTAAAAGAAATCTTTTGGGTAAAAGAAACGAAGAAGACAAATCGTGCCCATGTACGATCGCCGAGTCGATTTTCTATACGGAATTTAGAGGATTTACATTTTATTCACAAGACGAATGCGGAAGCACTACTATCGCAGGAATGTTCAGTCGTGGATTCGAGACTTTAAATTCTACCAACAATATTACATTTGAAATCGTTGATAGTTGCAACCGTACCCTCTATGACCTCACGGAAGGATTGAATGTTCAAATTAATGATGATGGTAGTACCGATCCATATCTGTACACCTTTGATGAAATCACTTTGGATTGTTTTGAAGATGGTATCCTTTTCCCGCAAGTTGGTAAATATAGCAAACGTACCTGTGGTTCAAATCAACGTCGTGATGGCGATAATTCCATGGTTGTAAAACAGAATGATGACATCCAAGCATCAGCGAAAATTGAAAATGTACCAAGATAGTTTAAATTTAACCATATTTTTAAGGATAAATTTTTTTTAGTCTAAAATTTATTTATATATGATTTCCTAGATGTAGATAAATTTTTTTTTTGAGAAAATTTGTTTTTTTTTTTGTATTTGTACATTTCGTTGTATTTTCGTATTTTAAAATCAATAAATTGAGTCATTAAAGTAATTTTTTTAAAAGAAACGGATCGTTCATAAGTTCATGAGAATGAATGTAAAAGCGATGATTTTATTGTAGGTCAAAAAAAAAAAAGAATAATAAAAAATAAGTCATCGTCATTCATGAAAATCATCATAAAAAATATCGTAAGCCTAAAATATTGCTCTTCAGAAGAAAAAAAAGAAAAAAAAAAAATCCTGATATATGTATGGAATTCTTCATAAACGTATAAAATTTCATACACAAATAGGGAGAGCTCATTATCTGAACAAAAATTTATTGCACTTTTTCAATAAATTGAAGTTACGGTTCTAAAAAAAAAAAAAAAGTTATATTTTATTATAATACATCAAGAATGCGTGGAGGTATAATATTAAAAATAATCGACGAAATTCAAACATTTCGGTTGTACTAATATAGAAATGCGGTAAACGAAGACACAACTAAGCATTAACGCATGTGTTGCACAATCTTTAATCGACTATAATTGAGAATTTTAAATCACCGTTCAAATGGAGCCCAGAATAGGCGTACATTGTTGCAAGAAATACAAAATTTAAAATCAAAACCATTTATCATAAAAAGAATTTAACACAAAGATAGATAACGATTATGTATAACTCTCATTTAATGTAAAAGTGTGTAAGAGTTTCTAAAAATAAAAATTTAGGTTTTTGATTTTAAACTTTTATGTGGTAATAGTTTATAATATTTGTACAAAAAAAACTTTGGGGTGAATAAACAAATGCTAAAATAATGTATGCTTGTATAAACAACATATTTTGTTAAAAAAGATGATTTCCACTATCAATAAACGATTACAAATTTTCTAAAATTACATTTTTTTTCTCTTGACTTCCATTGCTGTTTCTAGGCTCTATTCCTATCAACTTACGATGAACCATTAGTTGACATTTGAATTAGTTAAGGAAATAATATTTTAATCTTTTTGAAAAATTTAAAGTATATCATGAAAAATTTTTAATTTTTTGCGAGCGTACATGCATTTAACATTTAAAAATGTATACAAAATCAAACAAAGTTTTCATTAATTTCCCCCTCGTTGCAATTATCTTTCAAAAAAAAAAAAATTATTTATTTGGTTGAATCAGGTCAGGCTTGTAACATATTCAACTCGAACCGGTCAATAGTTACAGAACTCGAAATATAAACAATAATTTATTTTGCAAATTAAAGTAATTTTTATTTTTGAAACATAACATTTAAAGTTTATTTTTTGAACATTAATCGTTTAATCTTGTTGAGTCATTTTTTATGACCTCTAAAACTAGTTT